CTTAGGTGTTTTCAAAATATTTTCAAACTTACACGAACATAAAGCATTTTCAAGTGATCAAGCGATTAAGAGCCCGTAGATAACTACGGATGAAAAGGGTGCTAACACCTTCCCTTTTCATAACCTACCCCCCGAACTAAAGAAAAATCTCAAAAGGTCTTTCATGTTCTTTTCACCATTTCTTTTATTTTATAAAAGAAAAGTCGGTGGAGACTCTTTCTATCTGCAACAATTGTGATAAAACGTAAAACACCCAAGTCAGTTCTCCCACCGTATCACATGGGGCAACAAGCACAATATGATTTTGTGATCATTCCTTTTGGAACTTGTAGATTTCATTACAATCTTCACATTGTGATAAGAAATTATACATTTTGCAACTTGAGTCAAAAGTTATGGCTTGTGGAAGTTGGTGAAAAATCCTAAATTCTATACTGAAAAATTTCTAATTTAAATGCCTTAAAATAACCTGTAATCTTTTGATAAATTCCATGGCTTTCTAAGCATTTTTGGAACTTGATCCTCAAATATAACTTATAGAGGGAATAAAGAAGATAATTGTACAAAATGAATGAGCTCCATATGATAAGAATTGAGCAAGTTATGATTCTTGAAAGTTGAGCAAAAATAACTTTGAAATAGGTCAAAATTTCCCTAAGTCCACAAATGACTTATAATATCTTCAAACTTTTGATGAATTTCCTCACATAATTATCTCTTGACCTTTAAATAAAAGTTTGAGATGGTGTCAAGGAGAGTCATGTGTAAAAATAACCATTAAAACGATTGAATATTAAAGAGGTTATGCTCTTTTGAACTTTGGCTTGAAAACTTGCCAAACTAGGTCAAACCACTTTGCATAACTTTGATATATTTGATCTTTTCTTGCAATCCAAGGCATGATGAAGTTCATATGAACTTATAATGATGAAACCTTGATTGAACTTTGATTTATAATGGCTACAACTGAGTTACTTGATGAATAAGGCATGAAAATAAACACATGAACCTTTGACCTATCTTAAGGAATAAGCAACCACACTTGACTAATCCTTGATCAATTGATGAATGAATAATGCTTGAGGTTGATATGACCAAATATTATAGGTCAATCATCAATGCACAAGTCCTTTAGAATCCATGTTGACCATACTTTGACTTTGATCAGATGAAAAGCCTAGCTGAGGGACTTTGTTTGATCCACTTGGTTCACACTTACCCCTGCAAAATAAACAAAGGTAAACAAAGCATTTTTTTTTTGTATTTTCATTATATGTTAGTAAAACATAAAACATGTATAAACAAATGTACAAGATTCACAATAGGGTGTTTGGTGATCCCTCAAAGGCAAGCTTAGAGATAGGAGAAAGAGAAAAGGATAAGAGGCAATCCAAGGTTGTAATCTTGATGTATTGCAAAGATAAAAAATGATGAGGGGTCTTAGGGGTAAAAATTAAGGTATAACCGTCTCCAGTGGAATTAAGATAATTGAATGCACAATTGGAAGAATTGTTGGAGAAACACTTCATTCAATTGAGTGTATCTCCATGAGGTTCTATCGTATTGTTAGTAAAGAAAACTGATGGTGGCATGAGGTTGTGCATTGATTATTGACAACTTAAAAAGGTTACCATTAAGAATAAGTACCTATTTCCTTGGATTGACGACCTCTTAGATCAATTAAAAGGAGTCATCGTGTTCTAGAAGATTGATCTACGATCAGGGTATCATAAAATCTGAGTGAAGAGTTCTAACACACTGAAGAGAGACTTTAGAACCCAGTATGAACACTACGAGTTCCTTGTGAAATTTTGTTCTCCCTCTAGAAATATGTCAAACACAATGTGCCATATAATGTGTGTGACAATACGGATGTAATAACAATTAAATTGCAAATAAATTAAATTAAACACAAGGAAATGGTAACCCAGTTCAGTGCAATAACACCTACATCTGGAGGGCGTTAACCGAAGAAAGGAAACTCACTCTTAATAGTAAAAGTACAAATTGGTCTTAGATGAACTCTTCTAGTTCAATGCCTTTTTTCTTAATACTACTCATGAATTTCTAATTATGACTCCCCCTAAATATGAGACCCCTCTCACTTTCTCTTAGCAATTATTTCTATTGTTAGAAAGATTAAAAAGGTTTAAATAATGGAACTATTACAACTTAACAAACCCAACTCTATTTCGTTGGATATGAATGATCAAATGAATAGAGTTTACAAAATAAACCACACAAAAAATACAGACTCAATACACTTAAATGCCTTTTTAAATATCTCAAGATCTGAGTCTTCGGGTATGGAGTATGACTCCTTAAATATAAAAAAATAGCCGCACCTTGAGATTAGGGTTGGAATTACTTTTGGTTAAAGGAAGCTTCAAAAAGCGCATATTCAAATTGTGATTTAATTTGATTTACAATCTACATTAAATTAAATCTCCATCACTGATTTGGTTTTCATATGGGGTCATTTTTAGGAATTCTTTTCTAATTCCCAAAAGTGCATAAACATATAGACAAATAAGGAAACAAATCCGGCACTTGGTTCTAAAATGGCGCATCATCTTCTGGTGATGAATATTCCATAATGTGTGGGACATCTGACACCATATCTTTGCGAACTGTTTTAAAAGCATAGAGACCACGTGTCTCAATGACATGTTATTACATCTTGCATGACATGTTGACTCTAAAAGTGTGCCAAAAACTGGTAACAAAAATATCCCCCTTTGGAAAATTTTAAGGCAACTACAACATGCAAGATGTGCAACCGGATGACTAGAACAATATTCATGACATAACATCAGAGTGCAGTGAAAAACAAGATCTAAGTAACTAGCAACATTCATGTCAGACATAAAACTAGCATATCATATTTACCATAAAATATCTTGAGTTAATTAAATATGTTTGTTTCTCCCCCATATTTACCTCAAAATAGGCAAGGGGCCATTAGTAGCCAATCAAGATAACCAAAAATCGCCCATGAAGGGAAGGAATCTAGAGGAACCAACAAATAAATGGGAGCTGCAGAGGGGACCATTATCCTGCCCTTAAGTTTATTAAACAAACACCAAAATTACCCACACATGGGTGCAAGAACATCATTACTCAAACAAAATTTTAGAAGTATTAGACAAACCATAACCAAGACCAAATTCACTTCCACTAGAGTTATCCTCATTGTCATTACCATCCTGGTCTTCAACTATCCTGACATTATCATGTTCAACAGGATGAGAAGTTGAAGCATCAACACCTTTGGGGACCATCTTCTTAATCAGTTCATCACTCTATTCTTGCGGCAGTGGATGTCACAATCACTTCCTAAAGGGTCTTTGACACCTACATCAATTCTAACAAGACATTATTCTGATAGTTCCAAATATTGGAGGGACTTCAGGGAGGTCACTCTCATTTGTTAGATTAAAGTGAATGTTAGGAATGGACATGTCTAAAACATGTGCCCCAATAAACAGGTGGTAACTAAAAGTTAGTAGACTTCCACTAACACACACATACACACAACATCTTCACAACTGATAATGTTAGGCCTTTGACTAATCAAAATCCTAAAAATAAGTGCACGAAAGCTAATAGGAAGTTTGGCAGCATATGACTTAGGTTGTTTAAGGACTTGTTAAAAAACATACTCTCTAAAATCAAATGCAGCCCTAGTGCCTATCTGATAGATAAGTTTATCCAAAGAAGTTGTGATACCTGAGTTTTGGTTTGCTTGATAACAATTTGCAACTCCAGTATTGTTGAGTATGGCATAATTCGCACTTATATTAGTATAAGGGAGTAGTCATTTGTATGTCTAGTCTTTATGTGTTCCTCTAGCAATCTCTTGAGCAATTGTCTTCATATTGGGTACCTTATCAGTTATTATCAGTTTAACACTACCCATGTACTCATTTATGACAATTGAAGAAACCGATGCAACAACCACAAACATGAACTTTCTTGTAGTATTTACTTCCAGCTTTATTGAAATCCTTAGGAATATTCATGATGAATTCCTTTATCAGCAAAGGATAGAATGGACTTATACCTGTGACGATTTTCATGACCTGAGCATCTTGCAACAAATCTATAATCTCTTCATACTTCAGTGCCTCTTTAGATATTTCCCTCTCAGGGGAAATTCTTCTATGGTAAACATACTTCCATTTAAATACACTCTCTACATAGTGGAAAGAGACCTTGTCCGTTGGAGCAAAAGGGACATCAGAAGAGATTTTATTTTCTTCAACAATATTCCTATTTTTCTTCACACGACAAAACACAATGTCCTCCACAATGTCGTCCATCCAACTTTCTTTCCAGACTTGTAAAGCATGAAATTCCCATGAATTTCATTGAGAGACTATCGTCTTCAACAATCTCCACCACAGGAGCAACCTTCCTCTTAGGGGTGGCTTTCTTCTTGGTTTTAGACTTACTAGTACCAGCAACATCCTTCTTCTTGTTACCTAAAACTTCTATCTTCTTATCTTTTAGAGTAGATGCCCTTTTAGTAGGGATATTCTTTGGTTTGAGAGTCTCTTTCTTCTTCTCTACCATCTTTTTACATTTCTTCACATAATTCTTCTTTTTATCCTTGGAAGGATAAATAGGGGCCTCCATAAAGATATTCTCAACATATTCATCCACATTATCACTAATAGAATTACCAACATTAGCCTCAATTTTGGTGGTAGCAATATTCTCATCATCTTGGTCTATATTGTTCTTAGTGGAAATATTCTCATTGTCCTATACATAGGTGACTCTATCTCCTGAATGTTGGACTGGTTGTCTTGCATATCATTCAAAATATTTTGTACTTCCAGGCTGGTTTCCCGGGTTTCATTCTCCTCAGATTGGAACTTCAACCTCACCTAGGACCAAAGTTTCATTTTCCTTTCTTCCTCAACCTGGTCTCCATCATCAGCATGTTGATAATCATTAGAATGCACATCAGTAGAAAGGTTTGAATCTTAAGAATTTTATTGCTCTTCATTCAAGTCAACATCATTGTTGACAACAACATTCACTTCAACAGCCTGACTAGCCACTGTATCTTCACGACTAGAGTCTTTTGTATGCTGATGGTAATAATGAAGAATACCATATATGAAGGTATCAACAACAAGTTCACTTACCGGTTCACTAATAGGACTTTCATTAAACAGATTATCAATGTCATCTTTCCTAGGTGGCTTATCACATACATGAATGGAGTCTAGGGTTTGGGTGAAATTCTCAACATCAATATATTGAGTTTTTGAAACCTCGGTAGCTGTCTAAGAAACATGATCAAAACCAGGTTTAGATTTAGTATTATTTAAAATGATGACTGGTACGACCATCTTAATCGGCACAACACCAAGTACATTCTTTTCTGGTTGTTACATAGTCCCAAATTGTTTTTCATTGACCTTCTTAAATTTAGTAACTTTGTTTCCTTCATAAGTACCTTTCCTAGTACGACGAGACAAGAAAAGAGGGATCTTTGAGGAATGATCATTGTACTTATTAACCTTTTTTTTATTTTTAACCTCCTTTGGTGGCTCCATGGGGGGGGGGGGACCTCTGACCGGAACATCGTCCTTACCTCCAATAATAAATCCCTTCATCTTAAGGCTTTGCACATTGGTCACATGTTTGTGTTCCACAATAGGTTTCTTTGCCTTCTTCGTCGATTTATTCTCTTTTCTAGATGTGGTTGTTCCTTGTCTAGTCCTAATCATGATGGCGAGATCTCTGATGGGAATGTGATACGATTAACTAAAGGTTATAGAGAAGTAACTAAAGAAAGGTTCATAGAAGTTGAAAGGTTTTCTATAACTCTTAAGGCGCATAATGAAAAAAAGAATAATGTTTTGAATAATAACTATTTTTGGAATACCAGTAGTCAGGGAAATTTGAGCGTACGTACCATGTTGATGGTGGCAATGAGTGAGAAAATGAGGGGGCAATGATTCTCATTCCATATATCTATTAATTTCTAGAGATTCTATATCATGCAAAGACATAGGGAATTCTTCAACTTTTCAAATTGAGAAGCATCCAAAGCCTTAGTGAATATATCCGCAAGTTGATTTTCAATTGCCACATGATAAAGGGTTATGACTTTATCTTCAACCAACACTCAAATGAAGTGATGAAGAATGTAAATATGCTTAGTGTGGTGTCGTTGGAAAGGATTCTTGGAAATATTTATTTCACTCATGTTATCATAGTATAATGTCATAACATCTTGTTTGACACTGTACTCTTTAAGCATAAGTTTCTTCAATAATAATTGAGTGCAACTACTACCTGCAACAATATACTCAACTTCTGTAGATGATAAAGATACATAATTTTTCTTCTTTCTAAATGATGAAATCAAATTATTTCCTAGAAAGAAGCTTCTACCAGAGGTCTTCTTTCCATCTTCAGCATTTCCAGCCCAATCAACATCACAATAACCAACCAGAATGGCATCTGTGTCATGAGAATACAAAATACCATAATCATGTGTGTCATTTATATAGAACTTCCCCCATCCCTTACCAACAATAATGTGTTATTCATACTTAGATTTTATGTTAATCTAATATTTGTCACCAAACACATTACTAATCATCAATTCCATGTTCATTTTCTTGTTATTAATTGTCATATTATGCATAATTATTCCAAGAAAATTATTGGTTTAGCTAACCTTTAAAGAGGCTTGTACATCCTAGAATCTCCTAGTTCTCCTATTCTTTGTAATTATTTTGATAATAATTCTCATGAGCTATGCTATTTCATAATAGGATATGTATATGATGTAAGCTTACAAGCTATTTTAACAAATTTTCTTTTATCTATTGTAAATAAATGTTGGAATCTTGTGATTATTTACATAATGAAAAATAGAAAAAAGATTATCTTCTTCTTCTAGTATTATTCATAATGTTTCTCATTTTTTAATTTTTGCATATTGATTTATGGGGCCCTTATTCCACCATTTCTATTTTAGTCCAAAATTACTTTCTCATTTTAGTAGATGATTACACAAGATATACTCAGGTAATATTTTTTAACCCCAATGATTAGACTAAGCTTAGCCTTATCAACTTCATTGCTTACATTGAAAACCAATTCCACACAACCCTCAAATTCTTAAGTTCGGACAATAGCGTCGAATTCCTCACCTTATCCCCTTTTCTTATGTCCAAAGGTATACTATATCAGAAATATTATCCTAAAGATCCTCAACAGAATGGTGTGGTGGAAATAAAACACTAACATATCTTAAATGTAGCCAGGTCTCTTCATTTCTATTCCAAAATATCATTATACATGTAGATTTTTTGTGTCCAACATGATATCGACATTCTCAAAAGAATTCCCTGCCCTATTGTCAATTAAATAAGTACTTGTATGCATATATTTAAAATCTTCCCTCTTATATGCATCTTAAAGTTGTTGGCTTCTCATGCTATGCGACATCTATTACTTGCCATATAACTAAATTTGACTCCTGGGCCAGAAAAACCATTTTCATAGGTTATAAGGAAGGTATAAAAGGTTTTATCCTTTATGACATGTCCAATCGTGGATTTTGTGTTCTCTAAAAAAATGTTGTCTTCTATGAGTCATTTTTTCCTTTTTAAATTTCTTCTCATTCACAATCAAACAAAACTAATAATACATTCTTATAAAATCTTACATCTAACCTCAATGACTTATCTATTGAACCACTCCCTGTACCTCAACTAGATACCTTGCATGTTCAATCTAATACATGTCAACCCATTCTACCACTTACATTTGTCCAGTCTGCTACATCAAATATAGTCCTCTCTTTCCCACCATAGGAAATAACACTTCATTTATTGGTCCCTCAAACTTTGACACTCCTCTTGTCACCTGTGAATGAGACCAACCTATATCTATCTACATTCTACAAAGGTCTCAAAACCTCCATCTTACCTAGCAGATCAACATTCTCTTCAAACATTAGCTACCTCATCTAAACCCTCACAAACCATACCATACCCTTTCTCACGTGTCTTGACATATGATAAATGTTTACAACCATACAAAAACCTATTTATATTCCATCTTCTATTATACTGAATCAAAAATCTTTATAAGACAACAAACTTGAATTTTGAAATGACATGACTATTGAACTACAGGTTCTTGGTGATAATCATACTTGGATAGTTGTTGATAGGGCTAAAAATGAGTCGAGTAAAGTCGAACTCGCCTCAGTTCAATTCAACTCGTTAAAAATTAGCCGAATTTGAGTTCGAGTTCGAGTTCATCACAAACTTTTTTTCCAGCTCAAACTCGACTCGTTAAGAATTGGCCGAGTTCGAGTTCGGCTCAAACTCGTCTTGTTAGAACAATCTTATTTAAAACAATCTTATTTATCTTTATTGTATTCACAAGAATTATAGACAATATTTCTAACTTTCATATAATATAAGTTTCATCTCAAAATAATATTTGTAATTCAAGATATTATCATCAAAAGTAGGTAATATGAGCAAATAATGAAATGTTATAACTTAAATTTTTAATATATATTTTACTATGTTGAATTTAGATTTTTTTAATCAATAGAACTGTAAATTATTTTATCATCTTTTAAATGATATGAATAAATGTGAAAACTAAGTATTGATGTCTTCATGAAACTTATATATCGAGTCAGTTCATGAACCAAACGAATAGAACTATACGTAGCTCAAGTTCAACTCATTTATTTTGCGAACTTAATTTTGAGCTCAAGTTCAACTTATTTGGTTCATGAACCAAATCCAATGAATTAATTACCGCATCAAATCTCAAACTATTTTCGAATTGATTCGGTTCATTGTCAGCCCTACTTGTTGATTTTGCAGTTGGTAAAGTCCCTGTTGATTGTAAGTGTGATTGTATTATTCTTTTAGGTCAAGTATCTTAGTGGTTGGAACTCACCATTTAAATGTGAACAAGTGAGATATTACAAATTCAAACTCACTCCTAGATCTGATGTCCTTGTATAATTATCAACTAAAATGTGGACTTTAATTCTATTATTGACTTAATACTATTTACATCATTCTTTTTAATATGTTTACTTTATATTTATGTTAAATGTGAAAACATCATAAACGATAAAGGTATTATAGAAAATATTTTTCTATTTCTTAACTTATGTAAATTGATCATTTGAGTTATTTTGAAACCGACAGGGTAAATAATTAAGCTACTAAATATATAATTTTTAGACTAACTTTCCTTCTATACATGTCATCTCATCTGTATCCTTTTGTTTCATCACTCAAAAGATAAATTTTTTGAAAATGAAACAAAATTAAATAAACAAGTGATCGTGGTAGCTTAATAAGTCCATTCACATATTAACAGCAAATATAATTGTTCTCAATAACTAATCAATCAATTCAAAGATTATGAAATATTGGTTTATTTCCTTATTATATCCTCACCTCCGTCATTTTTATGGACGTATCAATATCATTTTATCGAGTAAGACAATACAAGGTAAAATGATGTTCTATCTTTTATTTTATTGACTTGGTAATCTAATGTGTTGTCTATGTGATTAAATTTTCTCATCAATGCTTTATGCAATTCAAATCATCAGTTTTTCTCTATCTATTTTCTTGTTAGTTAATAGATTAGTGATATATTTATTGAAAATATAATTTAGTTAATGTCTATAATTTCTGATGCTTATTTTTTAATAGGACTTTTTGACATTTTCAATTTTAATATAAATATGCTATCTAGGCTATCAATATTGTAAATTATTCATTCCTCTATTTGATATACAATAGTAGTCCTCTTTGTTATCATTCATTGCTCATTCTTCTTCTCCCCTTTCATTACCTTGCACCAACAAATTGGTATCTAGAGAACTTGGTTCTGTTTTTTCTGGGAAACACGAGTATTTGTGAGCTTTGTGTTTGATTTTGGTTCATTGATTTTCTGTTGAAATCTTGAACAAAAATCTGAACAGAATCTGATTCTGTGTATTGGGGAACTGTGTGTTTGAAGATCTGAAAAATCCGTACAAGGTTTAAAATGAATGGAGACAGTAGTTTGAACACCAAACTTCCAGTTTTTAATGGAAAAAACTGGAACATATGGATAATACAAATGCGTGTGATGTTTGGTGCGCAAGATGTTTTGGATCTGGTTACAGATGGTTATGTACCAGCTGTAGCAGATGCAACTGATGAACAGAGAACTGCTGAGAGGATGATGAGGAAGAGGGACCAGAAAACTCTATTCTATATCCATCAGTGTGTGGATGAAAGTGTGTTCGAGAAGATTGTTGATTCAACAACGTCAAAAGGGGCGTGAGATTTACTGGTGAGATGTTACGATGGTGACACATCCGTAAAGAAGGTGAAGCTTCAATCCCTACAAAAGCAATATGAGAACCTGAACATGAAGAGCAGTAAGAAAGTTTCTGAATATATCTCTAGAGTGATTCTGATCACTAACGAGATGAAGGCGTGTGGGGAAACTCTGTCTGAACAGGTAATCATAGAGAATATTCTGAGGTCACTTACTCCTCAGTTTGATTACATTGTTGTTTCTATTGAACATTCTAAAGATCTGGAAACCATGAGAATAGAAGAATTGTAAAGCAGCTTAGAAGTACAGGAGTTACGTCTGTCTGAGAGAACTTCTGAGAGGGAAGCAGAGCAAGCTCTGAAGGCTTCTTTTGTCAAGAAAGACTAGAAGCAGAATA